GATCTTCAGTTCGGGGGGTAAGTTATGAAAAAGGAAGGTGTTAGCATCATTTTCATCCGTAGTTATCTACGGGCTCTTAATTGCCAGCTCACTTTTTAAAAATTGCTTTATGTGTGTGATTGTTTGAAAATATTTTGAAATATCAATGTAAGGCAGACTTTGTAATGACTATTGTATTAGTCCTCAAGAATGCGTACAAAGTGTTTGTTTGGAAATATCTGTTTGACATGTGATGTGTAAAATGTTTTATTTGTTTTGAAAAAGGTTGTGAGCAAGTAATTTATTGAGTCTTACCCACTAAAGGTCGTTCTTCTTATTTTCCTTCTTCGTTAGAGATATTACCATCCGTACCATTAGTTGGTAGGTAGCCTTATCTATTAGACGTGAAAGGACATATGTAGGGTCGTCGTATAGTCATAGAAGGCAACATGTAAGGATACTTTAGAAATTGTATCACATGGACTATCATCATTTTGCTCGTAGGGTCATCGAAAGGACTATATCATTTTATAGGCAACTCGAATGGTCATTGAGGGATTATGATCTTTATTCGAAAGGGACCATGATGATATTGTTTAACCGAGAGTCTTTGCTAAATTATTCCTATTTTCGTGGGACGTGACCATTAGTATCGCAAGACAATGAAGAGAGGTTACCCTAGAGGTGAAGTATGCAAAGTCTATTGGTTTCAGTTATGTTATCTTAAAAATTAAGGTTATCTATGTTAGAACATAGTATGGTTCTACAACCGTTATAAGAGTTTTGATGATAACAAACACTCAAAGAACAATTATGCTCCCTAAATTAGTATTTTGTTTTGCAGAGAAGTTCTGATGAAAGAAGCACAGAAGATGAGTTAGATAGCTATTTCAACTCTGATTCTATACATCTCTTAAAGAAATTCTAACTCTACAAACAAGAACTTCGTGTTTCTGATCCATAAAGTTCTGGAAAGAAGCAACGATAACTTTCATCTTCTAAAGAAAGCATGTTTTGAAGCGTTACTATTCACTTAATGCTATTCAAAAGTAACGGCTGGAAGGGGAGAAGGATCTCTATTTTTGGAAAGCTCTTCAATTATCATTTATCAACATTCCAAAATCTTCCCCATGCATTGCCTATTTAAACAAAGCTTGAAGGAGAAACCGTTTACGATTTTACGCACAAAAAATGAGTTATCTTCATTACCTTTAAACGTACTAAATCTCAATTGTGTAAAATATCACTTGTATGATACTGTTTTATTAGAAAACATTTTTGTATACTCTATAAAATATTGTTTAGTGTATTTCCTTGAGAAAACTGGATTGTGAGTTATACTCAAGAAGACTTTGACGGTTGTCATGGTAAGCTGTGTAATAAAGTTTCATTAGTGGATTAAGACCTCGTTGAGAGAGGCGAAATCACCTTGACGGGTGGACTGGAGTAGTTTGAGTTCAAACGAACCAGGATAACCAACATATTCTTTTCTTTATATATATATATATATATACATATATATATATATATATATATATATATATGTATATATATATATATATATATATATACATATATATATATATATATATATATATATATATATGTATATATATATATATATATATATATATATATATATATATATATATATATATATATATATATATATATATATATATATATATATATATATATATATATATATATATATATATATATATATATATATATATATATATATATATATATATATATATATATATATATATATATATATATATACATATATATATATATATATATATATAAAGGCAAAAGATAAAGCGAGAATGTAAATCTACGCTGTTGCAGGACTTTGGGAGAGTTACATAATTAAAAAAATACGGGGATGTAAATCTAAAATATTACATTAAACTGTGCGACCTATACAATTGTCTGAGAAAATAAATAGCAAAAAGAATAAGAAAATGTTGGGAAAAAAGTTTAAATGCCCTAAAAATCTAAGTTCATATTTTTGGTGTTTTTATGAAAATAACTTAAGTGTTAATTAATAATAATTAAAATCCTAATTCGAATTGATTTTAATTAATAAAAAGCCTAAAATCTAATTGTCCAAAAAATCAATTAATTAATTTACACCCTAAAACTAATTTTTTTGTTGATTTTATTATATGGCTTCTTTATGATTTTTTTATGTATACGTTTTGATTAAAAAAAGTTAATTAATAATAAAATAACTAATAAAAAGAAAGGGAAAATGAAGAAAGTAAAGCAAAAAGAGTTTTGGCATCGCTGAGGTTCGAACCCCCTCCATTCTCTTCACACGCTTGATTCTAACATGTTATATGTTTCTTATTTAACACATTTGAACATACGAAACTTATTAATAACACAAGGATTAAGAAATTTAAAATTAGAAATTTTTTACCACCGGTGTGATGGAGGGGAGGCGCTCTGGGCACGGTTGATCGTAGTTATGGACTTGAGAAGGTTCATGGGGATGTCAGGATGATGATTTGAGAGTTTGTTTCAGTTGAGAATGGCTGGAAAACTGGGATACAATTTGCACCTATTCTTTGAAAATTTTGTGTTTGAGAACTTGTTTCTATGGCAGCCAATTCGTCTCCTTGTCTTATGGAGTGTGTCCTCTATTTATAATGGATGATTTTTTAAGTTAACATTCTTGGAAAGAAATATGTGCAATCAAAGTCATTATTTGTTTCCAAAACAATTGCAAAACTTTCTAAAACATGAATATCTCTTTCATTATTCATTCCTCACGGTTTTGTTATGTTGGATATGTGATCTTGGGCTTCAAAATGATCCAAAACAAAAGCCCACATGCCTTGTACATTTATTTAATATTTATTTAATTTAATTTTGAATTTAAATGAATAAAATCAAAATAAATGAAATAAAAAATTAAAATAAGGCATGAATAGACTTAGGGGTTCCTAAACATGTCATAAACACGTTTGAACTTCAAAAGTTAGGTTCATTAGCCTAAAAGTCCAAATTTACTCAACTGTAGTTTCATACATTTTCTCAAAATTGCTCAACTTGCACCAATTATAACTCTCTCAAATTTTGTCATATGAAGGTGATCTTGGACTTTTTGGAAAGCTCAAGATGTCCCCTATAACTATCATGTTGGTCATCTTTTCATTCTAAGTCTTTAAGTTGATGTAAATTGCCTTGACAAAAAATATCTTTTTGTTGGCTTTTAAAATGACCTATAATATTTTGGCTCATATCTCTCAAATGAAGCATTTTTGGACCTGAGCTTAGAGAGACAAAGTTGTAGATAATTGAGTTTCCTTTAAGATATACTTTGGTTGAAAATTTTCTGATGAAGCATGTGAAAGTTATGCTTGATCAAAGTTTAGTTGACTTCTCCTTAAGAAATGTCCAAAAAACCCTAATTTAGCAACTTTTGACTTTTGAGCAATCTTGAGTCAATCTTGATGAATCATGACCAAGACCTGATCAAATGATGAATGTGATTTCAAAATATTGATGTTGACAAAAAATATTGAGTTTTGACTGTATGTTGACCACTGCTGACTTTTTATCCAATACAGTTGATCTTCAATCATCTGAGCAATTGTATGAACAAATTTATGATGTACGGCTTGAAACTTGACATGAGGATTCTTTGAAGCATATGAGGAACCATGAAATCCACTTGAGGCCTTAGAAGCTCAATTTTTCTTGAGAGAAATAAAACCCTAATTGTAGGTCAATTGCTTAGGAGGAGAGTCTACCTGATCAATCCTTGATAAGTCTTGAGTGTTTGAGACCTTCATGAGTATGGGGAGACCTATTGAAATAATTTGTCTTGAAAATAGGAGGATAAATTTTATGGTACAACAATAAGAAATATGTTTCAAGTCAATCTGGGCTGGCCCTAAAGGGGAATTTTTTCAAAGATCATGATTCGAATCAAGGATAACACATGATTTGAATCAAGTGAGGTTATGATTAAAATCAAGTTCAATATGTGATTGTTCAGAAACTTTTTTCAATTTTCGAAGATGAGTGATTTGAATAAAGAACAACACATAATTCAAATCAAAGACCAAAACATACAAATTTAAATATTTTAACTTGTGTTTCAAACTACGCTTGTGAAAATAACAAAATAGTAATTTCATAGATTCAAAATGAAAATATCAACAATATCTCTAATTTAATATTTTCTAATAAGTAAAGTTCTCATTATAATTAAGTTATAAATTGCATGAGTGACATAGATATACGAAAAGTATCATTTTGATTGTGTTATTATTTTTGAATTAAATATGTTATATCCACTTTTCGTACAAAAACAAACATTATTATTAGATAAACATAAGAACAACCGATAGTAGTAATTGTCAATTGGCCTTTATGAATAAGACAAATTCTTATACCACATTGGTATGGTCATATATTTGCTGTTTATCATAACTCCCCTCTCCGCACTCCAGTCACCCATTGTTAGAGGTTAAAATAGGCTAACCCAATAACAAAATTCTACTTGCTAGTTTACATAGGTTCATGTCAGATCAGATATTTTTCTTAAAATATTCAGATTTTTTTTATAATCTTATTTAATTAAAAAGATTAAGTTAAATGTCACAATTTTTTTTATAAAACTACTAGATCAACCTATTTAAATAAATATAAATTATTTTATTATTATTATATAGTGTTTGTATTTTAAATTAAAATACAAAAATAAATTTAAATATCAAGAAAAATTTATGATAAATTTGCTCAAACAAATAGTATCATAAAATATATATTAATAAATAAATTTGAATAAATTAATACAAATAAATATCTAATCTAATTAATATTTTAATATGTTAATCTATTTGTAAAATTAAAAAAAAAACTTTTACACTTAATTTATCAAATTCAGTCGTTTTCACTCTATCCTATTTTAAATTTTGTTGCCGCCTCTTCCACCGTCACTGTTCACACTCCTCTTCCACCGTCACTGCATAAGGTTTTTGTGCAATTGAGTTGCGAAGATGGAGGCGCCGTCGAACTACGAGTATCCGACGCTAAAGCGGTCGGAAATTATTCAAATCCTTACCCAATTTGAAATTGCATCCATATCGGATCACGACATTACCCACCCCAAATCCGCCGTCGTTTTGGATCTCTACATACGCATACTCAACCACCTTGGTTTTCTCTCCGAGTAACGCTTCGTTTCTCTTCAATTCTTCACATCACACATTTTTTCATTCACCGATTATCTTCTTCATACTGTTTCTCTCTTTCATTTCTCACAGGGAAAATGACGAACAACTCGACTTCGATGTCCTAGAGCATCTTGATGATCCCAGTCTCCACGCCGAACCGGTTCGCGTTTTGAAGGTTTATAACAAGATCAAGGAAGTGCTTCACATTCTACAATGTCCCAAGAAATTTCACATGGGCGATCTTGCCCTGCCCGAGCCACCTCGGACTGTGTTTTTCCTCGGCGCGCTTCTCAATTTCTTAATGGACAAGTTACTCCCATTTCTTCAATTACTTCAGCAAGGTCACATTTGATGATAAACTATAAAGAAAAACCCTAAAACCCTAATTGTCTATTTTTTGATATCAGGAATAGAAGAATGAACTCCATTTCAGAAATTGTAGAGGAAGTCGGCGCTTTAGAACAGAAGATACTGGATATTGAAGAGAATAAGATTATGCAGGTTTATAATAGTGAATGTTTTTCTATTTTATTTTTATATGTGTTGGAAATGGTGTTTCATTGACTGCATTGCATTTCATTCGGTTGTTATAGTTGAATTTGGCTATTGAGGAATGCAAGGAAGCCAGAGAAAGGGAGATGCCTTTAGTTCAGGAGGTCGATAAAAACGTTAAAGAGTTGCAACAAACTGTTGCTGAACTTAATAACAAACAGATGTCCTTGAGGACTAATTTGAGAAAATTGAAGGAGAAGACTTTGGAAATGGACGATAAGGTGAGCTTATTGACCAATAATGGAATCTACTTCTTGATGTTGGGTTTTTGAATAGTATATGGTAGAAACTTCATTAGAAGGTTAGAAGTTTATGCGAACAATTCATGTAGGATTAGAACATTGAACAGTTAGAACATAGAACATTGGACAGTTTATGTGAACAATTATACTTGTTGATAGATTATTTTACTTGTTGACAATCCTAACCTCTATTTTCCTTATGTCACCCCAGATTTCTGCTGCTCAATTTAGTGTGGTACAAAATGTTCAAGAGAATGCGAATTTACGTTCGAAAATTGCTCAATCGCCAGATAAAGTACAGGTATCATTTCCATTTGATTATCCCCAATAGTTAGAAAGTAAGCTGAAAGTAGAGGGATACTAAAATTTATTTGAACCATGAAATGTTTAGCACTGTTTAGATGAACAAAAACTGCATGCTTATTTTATATGTTCTTGCCTAAGATTTTGTTTTTCTGCATCTACCTAATTAAATTTGCTTTCATTATCTTGCATGAAGAGGGCTTTAGAGGAAAAGAAAATAGCTCGAGAAGAGGCCAGAAATGCTGAAAGATTAGCCATGCAGACTTTCCATGAGAAGAATACCCTCGTCAATGTTTTTGCCAAGGTATATTGTCACAAGACACTACTCCCTCCTTCCAAACTAAGGTGTTTTTGGAATTTTTATTTTGTTATGGTGGTTTTAAATATCCACAAGGTGTGATTTATTTTTTATTTCTAATTGTACCCCTGATATAAATAAAATGGTTTCTTCTTACGGGATCGTTGATAGTGAAGTGAAGTATTTATGTACTCCATATTAAAAAAACAAGAATTTGTGTAATAATTCATGTTAAATATAAGTGTGTTGATACAAATATACATAATTAAATGATCAAAGATATGAAATAGAGGAAGTATATTTTTCTTCTCATCTGCATTTTGGTCGTTGGGAACACGTCAAATAGAGGAAGTATATTTTTCTACTCAATCCTAATTATAATTCTGTTTAAATACCAATAACCCTCATTAAATACAAACGATTAAATATTTATAATTCTGTTTTTTAAGTTTTATGAATTCTGTTTTTTGGTACTGATACTGTTTTTTTGTGTATATATGAAGTTTTTTGTTTGTCCAACATGCTTCCGCAATTTTCTGTTCCGCCATCCGCCATTTTTTATGGCGGATTTTTGGTTCGCTGCTATTTTCCGCAATCCGCCATAGACAACACTGTTCATTTGACTAATGAATTTCTTTCCTAATTAAGATTTACTTTAAGACGCAATTGCGATTTGCGATCTCAACCTATTGGGGCTTAAAGCATAAATATCAACATAATGGAGTTCTTAATCTGTTTTTATATAAGTTGTCTCATAGTTGTTGTAATTCATTTTAACATATATTGGTATCATTTCTTGGCACTGACCTTTTAGACATTTGCTCATTCCTAAAAGCAAACTACAAAAAAACAAACAGTATCACACGGGCTTATGACTTCTATTCATAATATAATATTTTGTCCTCGATTATATAGATCACTTTATGAAAAAAATTTCAGGTTAACAAGAAAATGTCAAAGCACTGCAAGCAGATTCTGGCTATAGAAGAACAGGTATACCCCTGTCCTCTGGTTATTTGACTCCTATTCTGTCATTTAGCATGATGCTTGAAACTTTTCTTATGAATTTTCCGCTGTTTATTGAGGAACAATTTTTCTTTCTTTTTGTATTTGAATGGAGTTCATAATGGGAATGCTGTTAAAGATATGAGAGGTTCTATTATAATCTGTGGGCTTTTTCTTCCTTCAAAGATAGTTATCGTGCAAAACCTCTTGTTTGAATTTTTTAGCACTTTCTATAGGTCAATTCTGCTAAATCTGTTGAAAAGAATCTTAAAGCACTAAAAGCTAAACTTGGTGACGAAGAAGTACTGGAGAAGTCACTTGAGGCCCAATTGGTTGAAAGGCAAAGCAAAGGTATGTTTTTGTGCTAGCAAGCAATGGTATTTTTATGAAAATATTATACAAAAACTGTTCACCAATAACCTGGTATTGTGGCATGATTTTTATCAAATTATTATCATCTTTAAAAGAAAATCCATTTGCTGACTTGTAAGCAGCACACATGCTATGTAATTTTGTAATGATTTCTATGAAAATACTTTAATGCTATATAAACAAGTGTATTAGACTATTAGTATGTGTGTTTGTTTTCCCTTCATCTTATTATACTTGTTTGTCCCTCCTTAGTTGAACATATTGAAGGGTTGAAGAAGCAGTTGGAGAAAAAATACAATACTGTGATGGAGGAAGGAACTAAATACCTAAGCAGTAAAAAATCAGAGGTGGAATCAAAGAGATCCGAGATTGAAACTAGAGAGAGAAATGTTGGGAATGTGTTATCAAAGGTATCTTTTATTACAAAAGAAAACATTACTTATTATCTAAATACTTAATATTTTTGAAATCACAACTAGTATTCCATACGCACCTGCTTTTGTTTTCTTTCATGATAATAAAGCAAAGGAGTGCGATAAACAAATAAATTGTTATTTCTTGTCCACAATTGACAGGTGGATGCTGTAAACAGTGAAATTACTAGAGTAAAAGAATCTGCAGCAGCTAAAAAGGATGAGTTGGATAGTACAAGAAGAGAGGTAGTCGAAGCGGTATGTGACATTTTATCTTCTTTTTGAAACCTATGTCAGCTGCAGGTTGCAAATTTCACATTGGTTATACCTTTAACTTTTTTTTTTGGGTAGATTCTTTGTTGCTGTTAGTGTTTATCATGTCAAATGTGCTCGAATCATTGTTTTCTGCACTGGTGCAATGCCATGTAAATGTTGATTGTCAATTTCGAGTGATGATTATTGCATTCCTTATTGTGATAGTGAATGAGAAATAACTGAATTGTTATGTATGGATTGTTGCAGTTTCGTAAGTATTGCGACAAGTTTGCACGTGTGGCTGAAACTGTGCCAAAGGTCGGCCAAAAGTCGACCATTAAAGGAGCTGGATTTGACAATTTGGTTTCAATTTAATATGGGCTAGACTTGCCCTACAAATTTGCAGCTCGATGTCATCAAAACTCTGGTAGAATCATAGAGCAATTTATTTTCCTTAATTAAGGCATAGGTGTAAAGATATACATATGTAGCTGTTATGCTTGATGGATGTTGAAATTATTGTATATATAACTACATAGACACTGCATGCAATGCTTTTTAGGTTTGTCTTCTGCACCCCAGCTGCTGATATCGCTGTGACATATGATTCAGGACTTGCAATTTTAGCTGGTGATACACTATTTTCATATACTCCCTGTGATGATAGCTATAAAAAAATCATATGGAGCTCAGGCAGAGTTTTCCCTCTTTCACCCTTTTGGTTGTAGAAATGAATTGTACATAGAAACTCACGAGAATACAGACATGCATATGATTGAGTTGTTTAACCAAACGCCTCCTAAACTGAAAATGACTATCACATATAAGGGCATGTTTGAGTTGTTTATCCAAACGCCTCCTAAATTGAAAATGACCATCACATTTAAGGGCCAAAGGTATAGGTTCTTCCATAAAAAAAAAAGAAAAGGTATAGGCTCTTCACATTGTTATCAAATCACCTAAGACATAAGTATTGTCTCCTATTCTAGTGAAAAAACAAAACAACTTTTAGAATCTGAAAATGCACCAAAAATGTATTTCCGGATCTACTCCAAATAAATCAAAATTTATGCATAAGCTAGTCAATCTCATTTTGTAAAAAAAAAAAGATTTGGAGATATTTTTTTTTGGAATAATCAGGTTTTGAAAAAAAAATACGCAAATAATCATATGTTTCGGAGAAAATGACGTTAATAACCAAGTTTCAGGAAATGTCTACGAGAAGTCAAGTGAGATGACATATACTCATAAGTTTTGTATGGAGGCGTCAAATGAAATGATGCATAGGTGCATCTCATTTTTTTTAAGCTATCTCAGATGACGCTTAAGTACAAATATGGGGTATTTTTTGTTTTTTATTTTTAAAATAAAAAATAAATTTGTTGTAAATGAGACTTCAATTTTCATTCGTAATAATATAAGTACATAATGGAGAAAAATAATACATATTATCTAGCAGTCAATGTCATCCTCGCCGTCACCCTTGTCGTCACACTCGGCTTCACCCGGGACTCGAAATCGGCCAGGATTCCACACAAGCGTCCTTGCCTAACTCGTGGTGGATATCTATGATCTTGCTGTTGCGATTGGTTTGATCGCCCTGCGTAATCTATGCGTTCAGGATCCATGAATCTTGTCAGACCGTCGTATCCGTAAGATCCGCCTTCAAACAATCGGTTACACATGTCCTCAAAGTTTGACCGTCTTGGCGGAGTTGGTTTTATGGGTTGTCGATAACAATGATCATCTGAATAGAATGGGTAAATAGGCAATGGGTTTTGTGGAGTTTGGTACCCAGATGATTGCTGGGTGCTATGGTGGTGTGATGGTTGATGGTATGTTGGGTGACGTCTCTTCCACGTCTTACACCATTTTAGAGCGAATTCTCTCTAATTATTAACACCACATTGGACGTCGACTCTAAGGAGATGTCATGGTGACAAACAAATTGGATCGTTGGGTATTTCTTGATGCATTTCAAACTGCATCTTGACACTTTTGAACCTTGTCAGGTATTTCAATAACACAACAAAAATATTTAAGAAATTACAACCGTCAGAACAATTTCATCGGGTCCATGCATCATGTGCATTACGTCTGCGTCTGTTTTGACTTTCTCAAACCAAAAGCGAGGTTTTCCAATTGCGAAGTTCATGCCAGTTCTTCTTTTCTGGATTATTCTAACTTGTTTGCCCGGTTGAGTGTCCCCGTCTAACCATCTTTTCAACTCTTAAGACGTTCTATGAAATAGATATGCCAAAATTTCATTTTCATCGGGATTTTGTGAGCGATAACAAACATATCCACCTCTTGTGAAAATGATTTCAGATGTTGTGGTGAAATAATTAGAGAGAAAATGAGAAGATGTGTGAAAAATGGTGGAGAAATGAGGAGAAATGATGAATTTTATTTATAGAAAATGCAAGTACACGTAGGAGTCATCTCAGATGACGTCTCCTCTCAAATTTATAGAGTAGAAGCCAAGCCATGTGGCGCTTCTATAGTGCATGCGCCATCTCAGATGGCGCCTACATGCTATTTTTAGAGCATTTAGTTGTTTTGGGGTGTGTTATCCATCTCCACCTCCCAGTAGTGAGATCTTTCTTTATCGTATCTGTCTATTGAGGGAAGAACAACTAATCCATATTCCGAGCGATTCAAAGACTAACTTTCTGCTTTCTTCTCGGGAGGGTGTAACTCATACACACATTTTTATTGAGTGATGTCTGCTTCTGCCCGTTAATGAATTGTGTAGAGTGTGATGAATCTCCATCGAAGGAGTGAAATCAGTCTGTCTTGTTGACTATGCGTCATCTAAGATATCTTTTCTTTGTAGATATTTTCTGAAATCTGATTATTCAGGTAATTTTTTCTGAAACGTTTGTTATTTACATATTTTTTTTCAATATCTAGATAATCTAAAAAAATTTCAAGTTTAAAACTTAAGAATTAATTCTACGAAAGAATACTTACTTTCTTCATCAAGACATCCTTTATCTTTTTCTACTCGATTCTAGTGAACTTATTTTGTTTAAGTAACAAAACTCTTGCTTTCCCTTCATATTTTCTCCTTCTGAAACGCGCATCCGTCTCTGTTATCAATAAAACCTACTCTGAGATGTCAACGCTGTCATTGCCATCCTGCTTCAACCTTCCAAATCATCCATCGTCTCCATCTGCGCTATCGTTCAAACCTTCTTCTTTCCCAAACCTTCCATTCTACTCTCACCACCGCAACAAGAACAATCTAACGTCTTTCTCTATTTCAGCTCAATCTTCACCTTTCGACCTTTCTCCTCCCCCCATCGACCATGATTTCCTGGTAATTTCATACACTTCACCACTATTGTGTTTTATTTAATAATAATTTATTCAATTTGCTTATCGCAACTTGGTAAAGAAGCCAAAATTCATTTTCATATAAAATAAGTAGAGATTGATTGGATGCTGATTGCCTGATTGTTCAATTATTATCTTTACCGTTGCAGGACACTGTCAAAACTGCAGGCGCCGAGGTTTCTGGAGATGGAATAATTGAAACATTTCATAATGATGACGAAGCACTCGATGCCGCAGACAATGGGGTTGTTGTATGTATTCTATTTTGTAGTAATGTGTTGTTGAGTTTTATAAAACCTATTACTGTATTGTTAAATAATGAATTTAGTTGTTTTATTAATTTGATTCTCAATGGAATCTAATGGTATAGGTTGTGGATCTTTCACACTTCGGCCGGATAAGAGGTACTTGCATTTCCACATCGCGGCAATTGAGAGAACTTGTCCTTAACATGATTTAATGTTTTCTTAATTTTTAACATAAATATTTCTGATAACTTGAAATACAGTCAGTGGAGACGACCGCGTTCAGTTCCTTCACAACCAGACCACTGCAAACTTTGAATGTCTACGAGCAGGGCAAGTACGTGGAACAATGTAGCATCATTTGAATGCGTTTATGTTTTATTTACAATTTCAGGTTCTTGTCAATTCATTTTTATATTTCATACTATAATACAGGATTAAGTAATAGGATATCTAACTGAAATCCCTAGGGATGTGACACTGTTTTTGTAACACCAACAGCTCGAACTATCGATATTGCACATGCCTGGATCATGGTAATTTTCTTTTCACCCCTCTTTCAAATTCATTTGTATTTGTCTTCTCTACAATGTAATAATACCTTAACTTTCACTTTGCTGACCGCATTCTCTTGTTGCTGTGACAGAAAAGTGCAATAACTTTAGTGGTTTCGCCAGAGACTTGTAGGACCATTACTGAAATGCTGAACAAGTAGGTGACTTCTTGTATATCGTATTATTAGGATTCACTGATGGAGGTTAAACTGAAAATGAGATAAAGAACAATAATTGTCATTCCTGATGAATATTATCAAATAAATCAACTGATTCTTTTACATGGAATGATTTCAAGGTACATATTTTTTGCTGATAAGGTAGAGATTCAAGACATCACTAAGAAAACCAGCTTATTTGTTTTGGTGGGACCCAAAAGTGGCCAGGTAAGAGAAATTATCATACCTACTTTGTTTTGAGAATGACAAAATTGCTAATTTTCAACATGATAACACGAACAGGTGATGGAGAACTTGAATCTAGGCGATCTTGTTGGAAAACCGTATGGTACTCATCAACATTTTTATGTAAGCTTGACACCATACTAGTTATTTTCTAGTGAGTAATTTCTAGTTTTGCTTATCATCAGTTTCTCCCTACAAGATATATTTGGTTATGTATGTTTGATAATGACTGCATACTTATGTCTATCTGCGTCAACCTTTCTTATTTTTAACAAAAGCTCCTTACAAGCTCAATCGTGTCATACATGCTTTTAAGCTTCTTGTATTTGTATCTCATGGATACTTCCCTACAGTAAGAAAGACATTGATAATATATTATGATAGTTGTTTTTGGAAACATTTTCCCGTATTTTATAGTTGCCTCTTTTATGGCTGTGTAGGGTTAGGGAAGTATTTGGGTGATTGTGGGACGGAAAACACATGGAACCTACTGAGTTTTTAGCCAAACTTGTCCATTTCCTATGAAGACTTGATGAGTTTCAGGCAAGGAGACAAAATCAACTAGGTTGGAGGCCTCTGGTGTGACATGGTGTGAGGCGCCTGAAATTCTTCCATTGCTTGAAGTTCTTTTCATCAAGCTTAGCATAGATAAGATATGAGAATTTCACAGGTGAAAAAGGGAACGAACCGTTAATGTTGAGTGGGGAACTAAACGAACCCTTAGTGTTGAATGGAGAAGTAAACTCCATTGAAATAGGCTCGGGATCAAAAAAGAAGCTCTAAGATACCATGTTAGAGTTTCAGAATCAAGAAGAAGAGAGAATTTGAGATAA